AGCAGAGAGAAGGCAAAGTGCCAGGAAAGTGAAAGTGTGAGGTATGGGGTGTCCAGATCATACAGGGAGTTTTGCTGTGTCTGGTCATGTTGTGGATGGAGGAGACACTTCCTCCAGAGGGCAGTAGGGATGCACAAAAGGCTGAGCAGGGTCCGCCTCAGGGGGTGAAGGTCTCGCTTCAGGAGAGACCCAGGAGGCCAGAGCCCGGAGGAGGCTGGGTCGGGAGATAGGAGAGGCAACCCGGGTGGTCCGATCCTCTACTGCCGGGTGGGAGCCCAGCTTCTATCTCCATCTGCTGTCTGGGCCTCTTCCTGCAGGCCACGGGGAGAGGCCCCTGGGGACACAGCAGGCGGGGCTATCTGTCCAGCCACACCTGTAGCATTGACTCCCAGCTGACCTTGGGGTGTGACTGAGAGATGATATCCATGGAGACATAAGCCCTGGACTGAATTGGAGGGCAACCCCAGATTGGGGGGGGGAAATATAGGGGGGAAGGGAAGGCGTGGAACAGGAAACAGGGGTCAAGGCCAGGCAGAGACTGACCTGACAAGCTGACCCGTTCCTCCTCCTCGCTGGAGCACAGAGCTTGGCTGGCTGTTTAATTCCTTTCATCCCCATCTAGGAGAAAGGAGGACTTGCTCCTCAGGGTGATCTAGAAGACCCAGGCTTTCCGGGGTAGAACAATGTCTAAGGGAAGAATGGTGAGACCAACCAGTAGTCCAGAATTCTAGATCAAGGGCTGCCAGGAGGGTCAAAGCCAATGAGCTAAGAGTAGTTTTTACATTTTCAAAGAGTTGGGGGAAAAAGGAGAAAAATAAGCAACAAAAAATAAGTGTGTGGTCAGCAGACCCTAATATTTTTTTATCTAGTCTTTATAAAATGTTCAGCAATCCCTGCTCTAAGCTTTGACTTATATGCGCCTCACTGATAAGGGAGTCACCGCCTATAAAGTGGTAATGTCATCCTCTGAACCCTAAAAATCTCTTCTTTCCCTTTAGCTGAAGCCACAGCTGTCGGCCTGTGGATCCCCTCTGCCCAGGGCAGAAAGGCAGGCTCTGAAGAGCAGGGTCTGAGGCTGGCCCGTGGTCTGCAGGCTCTTTTTTTTCCCTCTTAAGCAACTTAGGCGAATGCTTTGTCCTCTGGCAGTTTTGAAATGGAAAATCCTGTCCCTCATGCTCCTTATAGGTGGTAGGTGGTGGCTTCTCTCCTTGGGAGAGTGACTGAGTAGTGGCTTGTGCCTCTGGCAGGCAGTGTGCTCAGCCTCAAGCCCAGGCTCACGCCCAGGGCCCCACACAGACATCACCGGGACACCGGAAGTCAGGACTTCCTCTGCTGGCGGGCAGACATGTGGTCCTTCACCCACAGCTGCCTCCAGAGGGGTAAGGAGGGGGTGTTTCTAAGAAGTCAGATATGATACCAGCTTCCCCCTACCTGCACCCCAGGAGAACTGCTGGCTGAGGGTATAGCTTTTTACTAGAAGGTGTCCGGTCCAAGGAGACTGCCCAAAGCCAGCCTGCTTCTCCAAGCTGGCCCCCACGGTGCCGCCAAGGGGGCCCCGCCCATCAGGTACAATGAGTGGGTGATTGGACAGAAATCTCTAATATGCCCCTCAACACTACCCCCTTTCCCCCCCATAGCACCCTAACAGGGCCCTCCGTTCTCCCCAGCAGGCATGCGCTCACAGGGACCCCGGGCAGTGGGAGGTTGGGAATGAGTGGGAAGGGAGCCGAGGCCGGCAGACGGCTGGGTTTGGTGCATGTGACATGTAGGACTCCTGCTGCTCTGCTGGAGAGTGATTATGGGGAGCGGGATCTGGCTTGGGTGGAGGGGGGGTCAGGAGCAGAATCCAGGTGAGACCTAGGCAGGTGCTGCTTGGGTGGAGAGTGGGAGAAACAAAACAGAATCTGGTGACTGACTGGATGGGGGGCAGTGGCCAGCTTGTGAGGACAGATGAGCGCAGAAGAGCCATGTGCCAGGCCTTGCCATGGAGACAAGGGTCTTTGGCTCCTGTTAGGGGAGTAGTAAGTAGGCTCTTCCCTTAGAGGTGCCTGCACACCGCTCGGTTGGATGCTAAGGGCCATGAGTGAATAGAAGAGGTGACCCCAGAACTTCTCCCCAGGGGGAGGCTTCCTCTGACTCTACATGACTTCCCTGGGCAAAGGGCCAGCTTTGAGCCCCTACTGAACATAGGTCCACGGGGGAACAGACATTGAGGCCCCCACACGAACAGCAGGAAAGGAGATGAAGCATTGCTTCTTTTCCAGAACTCTCCAGCTCCAGATCAAGAGGCAGGAGCCCCCAGAGCAGCCTTAGCTTCACCAGGAAATGCTGCGGGGAGGTGGGAGGATGAGCCTGGGGCGATGGAGAAGGTAAAGGGTAGAGGGGCTGGTTACTCCTCCTACAACCCCCTACAGCGGTCTGAACAGCAGACGGACTGAGGCACAGGAGCTGGCCCTGGACAAGGTCTGGTCCATCTCTGACCTGTGTACCACAGGCGGTGGGGGCTCTGGTGATGCTCCACGTACACACAGTCCTCTTATCAGCTGCGCCCATCTCCAGCCAGCCCCAGGAGGGGAAACGTCAGCCTCACGCCCCTTATGCAGCTCACTCATTCTTAGCACACAATCTCAAGTAAATTCGTAAAGCTGACGGCTGGGCAGCATTTAAACTGGTGATGTGGACAAACCTCTGAGACAGGGTGGGACAACCCTGAGAACCATAGATTGCGAATATGTAAACACCATCTGGACAAATAGCTCTCTCTGCCCCTGTAGGAAGCACCTGGGACACCAGTGCCCTGGGGCCCTGCTCCTGGGTCTGATTACGTAGGGCAGCAAAGTGAGAGTGGTGGGACAGGGAAGATTTCCACCCGATGGTGGGTCAGAAAAGTCTGGGCCATCAGAGGGGGAGAGTCCCTTATCTGGACAGCCCCTTATCTGGGACAGCTTGTTCTCTGCAGAGCTTGATAAATGAAGCATTGCTGTTTCCAACCAGTCGTCCTGTGGAGTTGGTTTTGTCCCCTGAAGAACACAAGCACTTTGTGTCTTGTTTTGTTCAGATCTTCCTTCTCTCTGCCCCCAGCAGAAGCCAGGGCTTCCCGGAGGAGGACCTAAGGCCCCTTTCTTCACTGACCCTTCCACTCACCCACCCTGGCACTGGCTCTGGGACAGGCCCAGCTGTGAGCTGCTGGGGTCCCCGCCCTCAGGGAGGACAGTCTCCTGGGGCACCTCAGCAGGTTTCAGGTGGTGAGGGAGGGTGGGCTCCAGGCAGGTACCTGGAACGGTGGCCAGCAAAGGCAAAAGCTGGTGGCAGGTGGTGAGGCAGGGTGGGTTCCAGGCCGGTACCTGGAGTGGTGGCCAGCAAAGGCAAAAGCTGGTGGCAGGTGGAGTGGTCCTTGATTTTAGATTAGGGGATAAGGCTTGGTTAGACCTAGTCAGTAGTGGTCTGCACTGCCCCCAGGTTAGAACTGGAACATAGCAGGGTGATTTTAGGGTCCCTTGGCTCAGCGATGGTGCCAGGCACTGTCAGTGCCCTAAGTATGTTTTACTGTTTCCCTGCAGCACTGTGAGGTAGGTCTTGCTAACGTCACACGGGAGATGAGTTAGCTTGCTCTCAGTCACACTGGAGATAAGGGATAAAGCTGGGAACTGGACATGGTTGTGTCCACATTCAGAACCCAGGTTCCTAACCCCTGTGCTCTCTGGCTTCCCTGGGACAGACTATCAGATCATGAGGGCTGCCTCCTCCTTCAACCTCGGGAGGCTGATCTCTGTCAGGGACAGACCAGAATGGGTCATGTCAGTAGGACAGGAGAAAGGTGGTTAGAAATCAAGGGTGGACCGCCACTATGGGCCCAGTCGAGCCCACTCAGTGGGCATTCCTGGGACCGTGGGCCTTGGTTTCCCCTTTGGCAATTGTGGCCACCCACAGCCTTCTCTTCTGCATAATCCCTGAGATTTGGGAGGTATAGGGTGGGCCAAGAGCAGTGCTAAGGGGGCTGAACAGAGACTGCACCACTGCCGTGCATGCATCCACCTGCCACGTTGCAGGATGGCCTGCAGAATGGGTGGGTTTTGATGGTGTCCAGTTTGAGCTGGAGTTGATGAGGGGAGGAGGACATGCAAGCTTGTGACGGACTGAGGCCAGGTCGATTCAGATCAGAGGTGGTGGGGGAGGGAAGGAAAGAGGTGTGGAGAGAGATGGTGCGTACGCAGGAAGCTGTTCTGGGTACATCAGCCTCAACCCAGTCACACACGGCCAGGGGTGTGGCCAGTGCCATGGCACTGTGTGTGTGTGTTTGCCTGACAGCAGAATGAGTGGCATAGCAGAACCGGTGCTGCCTGCCTGCCACATACCTGGCATCAGGCCAGTGCTAGAACAGGTGTCTCTGGTTCCTGGAACTGCTTCCTTGTCCTCACCTTCCCTATACCTCCCCCTGGACACTTGGGAGAGGGGAAGAGGCCTTGGGTCTGTCAAGGTAGCACTCCCTGGCCAGCCATGAGGAGCTGGACCTGGGGGCAGAAAGCAGCAGCAGGCAGGTCTGTGTGTCACAGCAGACCCTGAGTGCACATGGGCCCGCCCTGCACTTCCTCTCAGGACCTTCAGAATGGCAGAACTTTCTGTCCACCTGCCTTTTCTTCCCCAGTGGCAGGAGTGGGAGGGCTGGCAGCAGCAGGAGCTGGGACCTTTGGCACCATAAGTAGCAAAAGGACAAGGGGAAAGAAGTGTTTTCTTTCTCTGCCTGAACTTCCACCCGTGGTCATTTGCCATCATCCCAAAGATCCCGATGCGCAAGTGAAACCACAGATGTCAGAAACAACAACTCGGGGAAGTGTGAGGGCCTGTGCCCTGGTTCTTCACCCGGGGAAACTGAGGCCCTGGAGAGGGGAGGGACTCAGCTTAAGAACCGGCCCTGCGCTGTGTCAGCATTCTGTAGTTATGTGCAGGGGGAAAGAGTGGCGGGTCCTGGCCAGGCCCCCTGAGCACCTCTCCCCCCGCAGGTGATCGAGGAGTTCTACAACCAGACGTGGATCCACCGCTACGGGGAATGCATCTCAGCCACCACGCTCACCACGCTGTGGTCCCTCTCCGTGGCCATCTTCTCTGTCGGGGGCATGATTGGCTCCTTCTCCGTAGGCCTTTTTGTTAACCGCTTCGGCCGGTGAGCAGGAGAGGGGTCCTGACTCCTCTGAGGGAGCCCCGGGTGGGAGCAGGAGGTGGGGGAGACGTACCTGCCCGTTTCCTGTGCCTCAGCCTTTGGGGAGCTGGTGTGATCCCAGGACCTGCCTGACCTTTGCCCCCCAATCCCAGGCGGAACTCGATGTTGATGATGAACCTGCTGGCCTTCGTGTCCGCTGTGCTCATGGGCTTCTCAAAACTGGGCAAGTCCTTCGAGATGCTGATCCTGGGCCGCTTCATCATTGGCGTGTACTGTGGCCTGACCACGGGCTTTGTGCCCATGTACGTGGGGGAGGTGTCCCCCACGGCCCTCCGAGGAGCCCTGGGCACTCTGCACCAGCTCGGCATTGTCGTCGGCATCCTCATCGCCCAGGTAAGGGTCTGTCTGGCTCTGCCCTCAGCCTTCCACAGCCCTGCCGAGGACAGCCTCGAGGTACATGTCCTAGGCACAGCGCCCAGAGAACACGCCACCACTTACAGCTCTCCCAGGGCCTCTCTGGGTGGGGAGCAAATCCAGCTGACTTGACCCTTCTCATCCCAGCCCGCTGGATCTGCGTGCTTTCTCCTCACCCTAGGGACCCGACCACAGGGAAGCCCACTGTTTCCATAACATGCCAGACTCTCCTGCCTCCAGCCTTTATATAACCACCCTCCAGAAAGCCTCCCTTCCCCGTGCGTGAGTGTCCTGTGATACAACAGCAGCTCCACGCTCTGGGTCTGGCACACGTCCTCCCACTAATGATGTGAGGTAGGGCCTCCTTTCCCTACATGACAGATGAACCGAGGTTCAGTGAGGTTGAGCCTCCAAAATTGGAGTCCTCCCCCTAAAGCAGCAGCTCACGTTAAGCCAGTGCAGGCCATGGGGTGCTTGGAGTGGGCCCGGAGCCGGCCCAGGGGCAGGGCACTCACGGCCATTTGCTCCACTCTGCTTCCCCTAGGTGTTCGGCCTGGACTCCATCATGGGCAACAAGGAGCTGTGGCCCCTGCTGCTGAGCATCATCTTCATCCCAGCCCTGCTGCAGTGCATCCTGCTGCCCCTCTGCCCCGAGAGCCCCCGCTTCCTGCTCATCAACCGCAACGAGGAGAACCGGGCCAAGAGCGGTACGGGCAGGGCCCGCCCTCCTCCCTACCCCCTGGCCCTGGCCCTCTCCGCACTGAGTCACCCCCACCTACCCTCCGGTCCCCACCAGTGTTGAAGAAACTGCGTGGGACGTCAGATGTCACCCGCGACCTGCAGGAGATGAAGGAAGAGAGTCGGCAGATGATGCGGGAGAAGAAGGTCACAATCCTGGAGCTGTTCCGCTCTCCCGCCTACCGCCAGCCCATTCTCATCGCCATGGTGCTACAGCTGTCCCAGCAGCTGTCAGGCATCAACGCTGTGAGTGCGCCTCACCCACCCTTTCCTCTGGCCCCAAACCCTGTGGTCAAATGTGTGCTGTGAACAGGTCCCCCGCACCCACCAGGACAGAGGCTAGGGACAGGCCACAGCGCCTAGCCAAGCCCCAACTACTGCTCTGTCCATAGGTTTTCTATTACTCTACGAGCATCTTCGAGAAGGCAGGGGTGGAGCAGCCCGTGTATGCCACCATCGGCTCCGGCGTGGTCAACACCGCCTTCACCGTCGTGTCGGTGAGTCCAGCTCAGGGCCTCTTGACTGAAGGGCAGCACTCACTGTGAGCCAGGTGTGCCACCTGCTCCATAAGTGCCATCTCATTCAGCCTCACAACTCGTCAGATTCATTACTCTGTCAAGCAGCTGATGACACCGATGGTCCAAGTGCAGCAGCTCATCCAAGGTCACAGCCTGGATGCTCAGCTGTCTGGCTCTGGGGCCAGCTCTTTCCCCCTCACTCCCTGTGTGACCCCAGGGAGGAGGCGGTACTGTCTTCCTCTTCGTATCTGCAGCGCTTCTGGCTTTCCCAGCTCTTGGGGTGAGCCTCCGGGTGGCAGGGGTGGTCAGAGGGGCACAGGCGGGGTGGCACTGACACTTTCTCTGCCCACAGCTATTTGTGGTGGAACGAGCTGGCCGGCGGACTCTTCACCTCATCGGCCTGGCTGGCATGGCGGGCTGTGCTGTGCTCATGACCATCGCCCTGGCACTGCTGGTGAGTTGCCATGCTCTGGGGCAAGGCACAGAGGGTGGGTGGTAAGTCACATGGAATTCGAATACCCAAGTGCTTGGCCAGCAACACTCAGAGTTCAGGGTGGGGTGGGAGGGGGCGGCTCTCTTTCTAGTTCTGACCCCTACCCTCCCTTGCTTGGGCCTGGCTAGACCTTCTGGCTCCTTCCATCCTACTTATATCCTGGTTCCACCCTGCTTGGTACTTTCAGAACATACCACCTCTGGCCCAGATGCCAATTCCCCTCTCCCTAGGGACTCACTCTGCCCAATAATAAGTCTTTCAAAGTCTTCACCTGTGGCCTCAATTCATCTTCAGAACAGTCTTAAAAGTGCTGTCCTTGCCACCAGAGGCATGGAAAATGCTTTATCTCACTTAACGTGCTCAGGAATTGCAGGTGTGGCTCATTATTCCCACTTCCCAGGTAAGGACACCAGCGTCAGTGAGGTTGTAAGGCTTCAGATAAGGGACGAAGACAGGAATTGGCCTCAGGTCTGCTGGCCCCAGCCTATGATTATAACCCCTGTGGTAAACTGTGCCAGCACGTCACGGGAAGGGCCACTCACCTGTGCAACCTCTGGCAAGGAAAGCAGCAGTGCTTCATTTTACAGCTGAACCAAGTCTAGACAGTTCGGTGACTGCTGAGAGACCTGGCACACAGCCAGTGATAAGCAAGTGACAATTTGAGATGTGAAAAGCAAAGTCACAGCTTATTCGAAAGCCTTCTTAAACGGAATGATTATATGTAGACCCACATGTTGGGGGTCTACTCTAAGTGGTCCTCTTGTGGGAATGTTCTTTGATAGCTTCCTGCCTTGGGTGGACTAAGCCACAGCCAGATCCAGGGGCTCCTAGAGACTCCCCACCCACCTCCCGCATGCACACTACATGACCACACCGAGGGTAGACTCGAGCTCTCAGCCAGCCTGCAGGACTTAAGTCGTTTTGTTCAGATGAGGGAACAAGTCAACATGGAGTACCTGAATCAGGCAGCAGATCCAGGATGAGCCCTGGGTCTCCTGCCTTTCAGCCCAGAGCTCTCAACCCTGCCCTGGCTTCTGCTGCAGTTTCTCTTTCCTGAGGCTCCATCACAGCCCACTCTTAACACCCCTCCCTTCTCTCTCGTTGTCAACAGGAACAGCTGCCCTGGATGTCCTATCTGAGCATCGTGGCCATCTTTGGCTTTGTGGCCTTCTTTGAAGTTGGCCCTGGCCCAATCCCATGGTTCATTGTAGCTGAACTCTTCAGCCAGGGGCCGCGCCCAGCTGCTATTGCTGTTGCTGGCTTCTCCAACTGGACTTCAAATTTCATTGTGGGCATGTGCTTCCAGTATGTGGAGGTGAGAACCCCAGTGTCTCCACACTCACTGTTAGCCTTGGTGTAGGAGCCCTGCATGCGTGCCAAGTGCTATCCCACCTGTTTTCAGTGGAATCATGCTAAGGAGGAAACCGAGGCTCAGGTGCCTAGGTCACAATGCTAAGAACCCTGGCTTTCGTTAGCTTTGAGTTATCCCTTACTCTGTGTGGCAGCAGGAACTTGCTCCTGAGAGCCCATTACTTGTCAGGTTTAGGTGGAGCCTCATTTACTTATCCCAGAATTGCTGGTTTATAGGTAGTGTTCCCTTTTTCCAGAGCAAAGGTAAAGTGATTCACCTAGGTCAACAGCCAGGATGTATGGTCAGCACTTCAAGTTTGTCTGTGTGTCTTTCAGCAACTGTGTGGCCCATATGTCTTCATCATCTTCACGGTGCTCCTAGTTCTGTTCTTCATCTTCACCTACTTCAAAGTTCCTGAGACTAAAGGCCGGACCTTTGATGAGATTGCTTCCGGCTTCCGGCAGGGGGGAGCCAACCAAAGTGACAAGACACCCGAGGAGCTGTTCCACCCCCTGGGGGCTGATTCCCAAGTGTGAGGCACCTCACACCGCCAGCCCAGCCTGCTCCCAGACTCAAGGATCCCATGGAGCACAAACAGCTGAAAGAGACTTCAAGACTTCCAAACTGACCGATCTCAGCGGAGCTGGGCCTGGGGCTCCTTTCTTCAGCCAGCAATGATGTCCAGATAATATTCAGGACTTTAATGGCTCCAGGATTTTAACAAAAGCAAGACTGTTGCTCAGCTCTATTTATACAAGCAACAGGTTTTATAATTTTTTTATTACTGATTTTATTATTTTTTTATCAGCCAGAGTTTTCTGTACCTACACCCCAGGCTTCACCCTGAATAGCTCAGTGCCTGAAGGGTGAAGACTAAGTCCTTCCTAGACATTTGCCTTCTTCACCAAGCTAATCTGTAGAACTGGACCTATGACCAAGGACACACTAATCGAACTATGAACTATGAGGCTTCTACCCCAAGGGGTGGATGTGGCTACTCTCTTCTGCAGGCCTGGATCTCCCCATCTTAGAAGTCAGGCTTCATTAGGATTCGTCCATTCCCTTCCTGCCCAACCACTCAAATTAATCTTTCCTTGCCTGAGACCAGTTGGGAGCACTGGAGTGCAGGGAGGAGAAGGGAAGGATCAGATTGGGCTGCCAGGTTCTAGTCTCCTTTGCACTGAGACCCAGACGATCACCGTGAAAGGAGGGCCGTGGGAGGCTGAGAACTCACTGCTCAAGAAGACATGGACACTCCTGCCCTGCTGTGTACAGATGGAAGATATTTATATATATATTTTTTGGTTGTCACTGTTACATACAGACACTAAGTTATACTCCTAGTTGGGCAAACCAACTTGTAAATACACCACCTTACTCCCTCTGTAACTTCTTTAAACAGATGTAAATGGCTGGTTTTTAGAAACATGGTTTGGAAATGCTTGTTGGTTGAGGACAGGGAGAACTGGATGGTAGTGGGAAAGAAGCAACCAACCACTATAGTGGCTTGACAAGTTCTGACTTGTGACCAGTCTCTTACACGAGCACCTCTGCTCAGTGCCCTCTATCGCTCAACTCTGTATGATACACCTCGTATCGACAGAAAATCTAAATAGCTTGGCATTCAAGGCATTCCCATTTTATATCACATAGTTGCTGTTCAAAAAATGATAGTTATGTGCTAATCTTGATATTCAAGCCTTCATATGCATTATCTTCAATGTGAGGTAGGTACTATACCTGCATTTGACAGGCTAAAATGTTATGTGTCTAAGGTCACAGCAAATACGTCAAAAAAAAAAACCCTGCTTGTAACAGTGATACTAGATAAACCCTACCCTGTACCCCACTCCTCTCTCACGTACAGAGAACGTTCACTGCTTGAGCCCAGTGAGCTGACAAACGGCCGGCTCCCTCTATTCCTTTTGGGAATACGCCCTTTCTGGTTCCATTTTATATACTGCTCTCTTCACTTCTCGCTGCCCTCCTCTCCCTCCCGCTCCTGAATTATTTCAAACTTATTTCATCTGTTCCTTCCCTGTGGCACTATACTCTTCTACCCTTTATCTCAAGTTCTAATTTCCCCACTAGCCACAATTTCATGGGAAGAAATCAGTCGGCTCATCTGGGTCTTCAGCACTAACACACAGAACTTGGCACACTATGGGAAATCTGAAAATAGTTGATGAAATCCAGCAGTAAGGATGTCTGTCTCTGGAGGCTCAGCTGACAAAATCCGGGGGGAATTTGCCTGTGGAAGCCTTCCTAACAGCACACAGATGCAACTGTAATGTCTCTGGCATGACGAGGGGCTAAGGAGGGAAAACAGGTGCCTGGTAAGTGGAGGCGCCTATGAGTATCAACCTTATTAGGTACAAGAATCGTAGGTGCTGTCCATCTCATAGGTGAGGACTGTTAAGTTCAGGGAAGGGTGGCGTCTAGCCCGAGCTCAGGGGCAGGGCGGTTAACCTACCAGGGTTGCGGCCAGGTGGAGGGAGCAAGCCTTACGCGCTAGATTTACGCGCGGCCCCTGGGGGACCGTGCAAAGTGAAGTGTCCGGGACCGGGGTGCCTTCGCGGCTCTTACATCCGTGGGCGGAACCGTGGTGGCCCCACAGGGTGGGAAGAAACGCGACTGGGGTAGGGGCGGGGCGGGGCGGAGGAGCGAGGCAGGCCGAGGCCAGAGCTGGATGCTAAGCAGATGGCGCGCGGCTCCGAGGCGCCGGCGTGGGACGGAGCCGGGCGGCCCCGCAGCCTTGCCCCGGCCCAAGGCTCCAGACTCGGGCTTAGAAAAGCCCGAGCACCCACTCTCCGCCGGCACGGGCAGACCGAGCTCCCGCCATTTCCCAGACGGAGGGGCGCGCAGGCGCCGGGCCCACCCCGCGCGGCCCACAATGCTCCGGGCGGCGCAGCTTCCGGCCCGGGACGCCGTTCTCTCGGCGCGCGCCGCGGCGCAGGCGCAGGCGCAGGCGCAGGCGCAGGCCCGGGCGACGGCCCGTCCTCCCGGACGCCGCCAGCGACGCTCCGTGCCGCGCGCCCCCGCACGGCGAGCCTCTCTGAGCCGCGTGGGCGCGGAGGCGCTGCGCGAGCCCCCACCAATCAGCCGCGCTGCTGCGGCTGCTGAGGCGGCCCCGGACCGGCCCCCGCGGAGCCTGCCTGCCCCGCCGGCGCGGGCGCTTGGAGACGCCGCGCGCCCCAGTCTCCGGGGAGGCGCGCGGGCTCGGGAGATTGGGGCGTGGCTAGTTTAGCGGCAGCGTCCTGGGGGCTGGAGCTCACCTGGGGTACCTGTGGAGTATCAGGTGACGCCTGCAGTTTGCGATGACTGAGTGTAAGAAGGCAACCGGGGCCGCCCTCAGACCCCCTTCTTTTCATTGCGCGGTTCACTGGCAGGTGTGTGAGGTGCGGCGTCTGAAATCTGGGGTGCAGCCGTCTCCTCTCCCCCGATGCCTTCTGGATCAGGTTTCCCGGCTGGGCCCACAGCGTCCTGGGCTGCCTGGGTCAGAGTGCTGTCCGCACTCCGCAGGAGCTAACTGCCCTTCCCCAGGCTGGGGAGGCAGCTGCTAAGTTAAGCTTTTGTTCCAGGTTCCCATCAGACTCTGGTCAGTAATGAATGAACTAGAGTTAAGACTCAAAAGAAGTTTCACTATCTCCTTTCTTCCAGGGCGGCTTTAGGCGGAAAGGCAAGAGTTCCGAATGTGTATTCAAACAGTAATAGGGGAAGAAAAATTCATTTTCTCCTGTGAAAACTCCATTTTTTAATGCCCTCTTTTTTATTCTGTGGTTTTTCTGTAAGTTTCCTATACATCTGACGCCTTGTGCCCACTGCAGTTGTTGGCTTCAGTGCCCTGCACGCAGCAACTCTGGGGAGCCTGCAGCAACCCCAGGGCTTCCCGTCGCTTTCCCCTCCTTCTCCACACTGCTCTGCAGTCTTGGTTTCTAAACGCAAATCTAGTCACGTCTCTCTCCTACTTAAAACCTTCCTTGGGTCCCTGTTTCGCTCAGGAGAACGTCCAGCTTCCTTAGTCTGCAAATTCAAAGCTTCTCACCATCAGTTTCTAACGGAAACATCCAGCCTCATTTCTCACCACGCCCCCTCCCATCCCAACTGTATTCTCCAGGCATTGGTCACTTTATCCCCTGAGCTCCACTTACTCCTTCCCTTGGGGGACCTTTGCGGTTCCCTGGACGCAGACTGCTCTTGTACCTAATCTTTTTTCCCACCAGATGTTTATTTCCCCTTCACAGCCCAAGGAATTGACTGGGGAAGCTGCTAGTTGGGGATCTGTCGCTTTCATTCCTTGGACATTGCTACCAACTAGTGGCTGTTGTGTGAAGTTTAGGTCAAGGCTGGATTTTAACCTCAGCCTTTCCAGAGAGAATAGATTGCTTTAGAGAGAACCCTTCACCCGACTATTACAACAGATCCATTTGGTAAGCCTGTTCCGGGACTCCAGAATGATCTTCCTAGAGCAATGTCTGACCTTACTACTGCATAATGACTTTATGCTTCCCACCATTCCATGTAAAGCCCAAATTCCGGAAACTAGCAGTCAAGAACTTTCACATTCTACCATTTGGAGATGAGACGTATGCACTCCTCCCAATTCACTCTTTCAACTACCTAGATTCAGCCAAGCAGATACAGTCAGTGTTCCCCAGACAGCTCCTCACCTGTCTTAGCCTGAAGCTTTTTGTTCAGGCTCCTTCTTTATCCTGGTCCACCTTTGGTCTCTCCATAGGGTGGTTTGATTTTTTTTTTTTTAATGTCACTTTCTCTACAAAGCATTTGTTCGTTCTTTACTTAACTGAGCACATACTCTTTCCCGAGCTTTCTCCTAAACTATACGGTGTCTTGAAAAGAACATAGTTTTTAGATCCAGAGAAGCTGACTTCACATTCCTGCGCTACAGCTTCGCTGGATAACTTTGGGTACGTCCCTTTTCCTTTCTGATTTTCAGTTTCCTCATCTATAATATATGCGAAATGTAGATATCCACTGGAGTTACTCCATACTCCCCCTTCCAACTCTTTCAGAAAGTCTGGTATTCACCTCCAAGATTTCTGTGAGTTCCCAGGGGTCTTTCTTAAGGTTACTTCTGGCTCTGAAGCTCAGTATCTGCTAAACCAGCTGATGCAGGGTTCCCAGTGCCAGATGTTCCAGTCATGGAACTCAGATCTTTTCCGTAATTTCATTTCATTACTGAGCACTTACTGGGCACCAACCACTGTTCCTTTGCTGGGGAGATTTGCCTTCATGGATTTACATTCTGGAGAGGAAAACCCAATAAGCAACCAACTATTTGCACATTTTTATGTTGTGCCTTCATGAAACTTTCATTCTGGTGGGGAATACCCAATAAGCAATCAAGAAATGTATATCTGTACATTTTAAGTTGCCAGTTTTTATCCTAAGTTCAAACATTTGCAGAAGACTTACTTTCTAATATGTGATAAATATTGTCATTAAAAATTGTTACATTTATCTTTTATGTTTTCAACAGTTTACAACAATATCATATGAACAAACTTTGATAGTTGGAAATTTTACATTGCTTTTTTATATTTTAATTTTATGTTGCTCCTTTATAACTTGGATTTTGTATTTCTATTCCACTTCCCACACTGTATAGTACTTACCCTTATATAGTAATTATATGCTTTAGTTTACTAACACTGAAACACTATTGTATTCAAAATAAATATATGCATTAACATTTTTATATTCTTCTGTTGAGATACTATAATTACTATTACTATATAGTTGGCCAAAATAAATATATACTTAAAAATGTTGATAATGATTAAACATGAAAAGTAAAATTCTGTCAGGACTTGCAAGGAGTTAGGTGGGGATTTTCAGTTTCTTAATTAGTTTCTGTATCGATGTGTGAATAGTATTTGTTGTTAGGAAAGTGCAGGCTTACATAAGGTTATTAAAGATTGTGTTAATGTTGCTATTTACAGTAGAAAGCACAAAATAGTTTACATAATACAAATACAGGAAGAATGTGGTAGAAAGCACAAGATGTGATTAGCAAGTATCAGCAAACAGAAGACTTGTGCCCAATTAAAAAATATTGATTTACAATATCCAAAATATTTTGGCAAATGTTAATAAAAACACGTTATGAATGTCAATAAATATTTGTGAAAATATAAAATGCTAATTTATCATGTTATGCTGTAATGGTATGTTGGAAGCAAACTTAGAAATTTTCACCACTTTCCCCTTGAAATCATGTAAAATGTGTGGCTCAGTCACAGACTAAGGGAATTTGAGTGTATGAGAGTTCTCACCAAAATCCCCTTCATTACTGAGGATGGTAGAAATGCAGGGG